ATTAAACGAGGTATGTATGGCTAAAACCCCCTTTTATTTGAAATTGAGCTCCGTTGACATTTACGAAAGTGTGGTAAGATTTGAATTGGTTAATGTATTGATTGTTATTGCGCATTAATTGATTTGCAATTAACTACACATATACGTGAAGGATGTGCCTCAATGTGAGTAATGTACCATTCTTGATAATTATAGAAGTATGAAGAATACAATTATGTGTTGAAATACTTAGGCTATAAGCTAAGATAGAAACTGAGAATTATTCATGCTAGCTATGTGCCCACTTACCTGTACTGCAACTTGAATTACTTTTGTATATGCCTATGATCACAACCTGCATGATGAATACTAAAAATGGAAAACGATGTGATAATGGTGGCCCTGAGTTCCAAGGAATTGATATGATATATATATATATGAAATAAAGATTCAGATGTGATGACTAATGAGAAAGGAACAACGCCTAGATACAGCGGCCTAGCCGATCGGGTCGTGATCGGACACCATGCCGCACACTTGGTGGTAATATGCTGATATTGAATTTCGGATAAAGGAAATGAAATAGTGATTGAGATATATGCCTCCAATGAGGCAACCTAGCCGGTTGGGTCGTGATCGGACTCCGCTCAAGATAGCGGTGGTATTAAGAACAGTGATGAAGATATGATAGAAATGCCCCAAACTAAGTTTTAGAAATTATATGAAGGATTAAATGAATTGCATATTTGATTTACTCATGTGATTTATTTGTACTTGCTTGATAGTTCTTTCTAGTAAAATGGTGTTTAGTTATACATAGTAGTGCTATTCGATGGCACTAACGTCCCTTTTGCTGGGGGCGCTATATTTTTTTATGAATGTAGGTGGCTCCATTACGGATAGTGTCGATCATGCATAGCAGAGTACCTTCTTCTCAAAGTCTTGGTGAGCCCCTTTTTCCTTCAAGGGGTTATATTGTACATCTTCCTATTTTGGACTTTCACTTTTGAGGTATAGCTGGGGCCTTGTTGCCGGCATTGTTATCATATCTTTTGTATCCTTAGAGGCTCCGTAGATGTTTGTGTGGGTTATGTATGGGTATTGGATAGGTCAATGGACTATGTTGTAACCTTGTACTCTTGCTTTCTTCTACACTATAACTTGTATGGAACCTTGGAAGTTTAACCATGTTTTAAATGTTGTGATATAAAATGAACTAAGATGTTGAATGTACTATCTTTTCTAGTTTAAATAAAGGTAAGCATGGCTTCCTTATTCCTATCGAGTTGGGTAGATAGCGGTTGACAAGGCTTGCTCAGTTGGGTTCACTCGATTGAGCGCCGGTCGTGCCTTCCGAAGTTGGGGCGTGACATTGTATCTACAACAGAGTTGATAACTCTGGCTATATGTTGATCTCCATGAATTTGACAGATTCCCCATGGTGATGGAAATTTAGTAACTTGATGCAAGGTTGAAGGAACAACATCCATTTCGTGGATCCATGGTCTCCCAAGAATCATGTTGTAAGCCATCTCTATATCTACCACCTGGACCTTTGTATCTTTGATGACTCCTTCAGTGAATATGGTGAGTGTTAACTCTCCTTTCGTGAGGATACTAGAATTATCAAATCCAGATAGAGTATGCGCCTTTGGTATCATTTTATCTTCAGCTTGCATCTAACGTAATACTCTTAGCAAAATAATGTTCATGGAACTACCTAGATCAATCAAAACCCGTTTCACATTAGTATCATGTACAATTAAAGATATTACCAGTGTGTCGTTATGAGGGGTTAATACGCCATCTACATCTGCGTCATTGAATGTAATGTTGTCTTCCTCTAAAACATGCTGCACTCGTTTCCCTTGGGTAATTGTTACTTTGGAAATTTTGTTAGCTGCAGTATATGATATACCATTGATGTCTTCACCCCCACTTATAACGTTGACAGTTCTTTTGGGAGAAGGTGGTTTTGGATGCTCCTGCTTGTTCTTCATGTAAGCTTGCTTGCCTTTCTCACTGAACAACTCAGTAAGATATCCTTGTTTTAATAAATGATCGACTTCACTTTGTAAAAATCTACAATCTGGTGTTTTATGTCCGTGGTCATTATGAAACTCGCACCAATGGTCAGGGTTTCTCCTATTTAGATTCGATCTCATTTCCTTTGGCCATCGAACCTTATCTCCCATGCTTCTCAAAACAGCTACGAGCTCGGAGGTGCTGACGTTGAAGTTGTAACCACCGAATCTCGGTTTTAAATTTCTATCATCATCTCGTGACTCATAGTTGTTTCGCTCGTTCCTGAATCTTGATGAAGAACCTGATTCTCTATTTCTTGATCTGTGATAGTACCTCTAATTATCCTGCTTTGATCGTGAGTCCTTTCCCGCAGGTCCCATGTAAGGCTCATACCCGTTTTTACCGGATCCTTTTTCAGTCTTCGCACGTCTCAAACTTACCTTTTCTTCCTTTTGAACTCGTGGAACAGTATCTTCCTCATTCCTCAGCTTTGTGCTATACCTGTTATAAACATCATTCCACGTTGTAGCTGAGAATTATCGAAGGATTTCCTTGAGTCTCCTTGTGGCTTCCGAGCTTTTTTCATTCAAATTACTTGTGAAAGCTATAGCTGTCCAGTTGTCAGGTACACATGGCAATGTCATTCTTTCACGTTGAAATCTGTCCACGAATTCTCTAAGCAGTTCTGAGTCCCCTTTCTTGATTTTGAAAATATCCTCCATTCTTTTCTCTACTTTTTGAGCTCCCGAGTGTGCTTTGATGAAAGAATCTGCAAGCTCAGCAAAAGAATTTATACAATTTTCAGGTAAAAGAGAATACCATGTTAGCGCTTCTTTGGTAAGCGTTTCACCAAATTTTTTGACTAATACTGATTCAATCTCCTGCTTAGTCAAACGTTGCCTTTTACGCCCGTTGTGAATGCAGTCACGTGATCTCGTGGGTCTGTTGTTCCATTATATTTTGGAATATCAGGCATTTTGAACTTTTTTGGAATTGGGAGTGGAGCAGCACTTGGCTTCCAGGGTTGTTGCGAATATCTATCCATATCTACCCCTTTGATTATGGGTGGCACCCCGGGTATCTGCTCTATGCGCTCACTTTTCTCCTTGAGCTGTTTCTGCAAGGTTAGTACTAAATTTTGTAAATCAGAATTAATTACATTACCTAGTTCTCTCTCCTGTGATTCACTGGAAGTTCCACCGCTGCCTGAGTTAACAAGCCCGAAACGAGGGTTTTCCAAAGTGTTATTATTTGGAGTAGGTGTGGGTGTTGCAACAGGTAACTGGTTAACAAGTGCCTCAACAGCTTTGTTGACATGAGCAACAATTAATTTTTGCAAAGCTTCATTAACAGCTTCAGCATTTTCAAATTGAGCATACTTGTTTATTTGAGACCCATCAGGAGTACCCTCACGAGATTGCCGTGGAGAGTCTCGTGGAGTAGGAACTTGAGTGTTAATATTCTATGGATTTCCCTGATTTTGTTGGTTCTCTTGGTTTCCTTGAGTCTTGTCATTGTTGTTCGACATAATTGATGCAACAAGAAAAGTTAAGTGAAAAGAAAATAAATTATCAGTTTTCCGGTAACGGAACCAATTTGTTTAACCAAAAAATGAAATTTTAGTCAAAGCTAGAATTTAGAAGAACACGGGTTACTGATAATCAAAAGAATGTATAAAAGGAAGTAATTTAGGTAGCAAGAGAGAAATCAAGAGAAAAACAAGTAAACCAAAGTTTTTCCAATAGTGTTTTTTGTGTCCCTACAATTGATCAGATATCTCCCTTTTATAGATATCTTGGAGATATACGTTTTGCCCAAATCATAATGAGGTTATTATGAGTAATTAAAGACATTGAATGCTATGTTAAATAATCATTACATTCAATACAAATTCTCTAACGTATTCCACATTTAATGCTTATTAAATGTCATATCTGTACTCTTTTCTATTGTCAGATTCATTCCTTTTGATTCTCGGACATAAATAACTTAGATAGGTACGGGCGCTGAGTTATTTGAATAACTGTCCGTGCCTCTTCCTCTTCCATTTGCTCGTATCTGTTGCAACTCGTACCTCTTGGCTAGTTGTAATTCTTTGACTATTTGACCAATCTACATGTCTCGACACATCACCTTTATATTCAAATACAATTTTTCCCAATACAAGTTACTTACAAAAACATTAGCAATATTTCTTTCAAATGTATGTATCTTGTTTCACAGGTATGATCCTTCTTGTATGGTATATCTTGGTATCTAATATGTGAGCTTCAATGCATGCTACGCGTTCATAGAGAAGCACAAGTTATCAGACTCTATTGAAGAAGAGGCAACAAATACTGTTGACAAAACTCTTGCTTTACGTTTCCTTGGATATGGATAGATGGCAGCAAGCTCCCGAACATGGTTTAATACATGCTGAGGAATTGAGGACCAACCATGCTTCTCCCTTGCCGCGACCTGCAAATGTTGTAGTTTTTAAATAATGCTAAGCAATTGAGAAAGAGCTGATCTTTAAACAGGAAATTCAGAATAGCAAACGACTTAAATATACCAAGCCACAACTAGATTTTTTCCATAAATCCTCTTCTATTTATTAAAGGGATCGGAGCAATAGCTCCAAGCATAATACCATGACACACTCGTAAGGAAAAGAATATGGCTTTGCAACATGATATTCATATTAATTATGTGCAAAGAATCATAAAAGTGAATGTTTTAATTAAAATTGAAGTGAAAGCGGACATGTTAGAGGGTTTCAATTGATAGGAGGAATACCATACCCCTCTCTAGCTCTTCAACCGTTGGCGAGTAGCCCTCAAAAGATTCCGCCATTTGTCCTGATAGAAGAAAGGGACTGTTATAGAATGAATCTAGACATTTACTATAGGATGAATCTAGACACTTATTATTGAATGAATGTAGACTCTTTCTTAGTAGTGTCCATAAATAGCAGATTTATAAGAATCTCTTTTATTTCTTTCCTTAGTTAGCATCTGATGTACATGTATTTATATTGCTCACCTCTTGGAATGACAACACAAGTTATTCTTTCTATTCCGTTCACAAAGACTAAAGTCATACCAAAAATATATGGAAAGAAGAAAATTACTACAGTATATGATAGTACTAACAGTTACATACCTTCAGATCAAGTGGGCTATGATGTGCAGATGATTGGAAATACAACCTCTTTATGTCAGTCCATCTGCCTACACCATACTGAGATACACCCTCCACCAACTTTAGGACCTCAGGTGTCGACCAATAGTTATGTTTTCTGTTTTGGTTAGCGCCTCGTGTCTCAATCCCTGTAGTCCAATCATCTTCAGATGTAGTATTATCATTCGACTGGTCCGAAAGACAGCCAGAAGAATCAACTTGTGCCTCAGATAAGCATTTGAAGGAATTCCATTGGATATGTTCTCTCCTTTTCACATGTTGAACCCTTGGCTTTTTTCGGAAATTGAATACACTTGCAAAGGCAGTAGACGCTTTAAGGAGCTCTTCACGACTTGCTGGTGAAAGGACTTTAGACCCTTCATTTTCACTCAAAACTAGAGAGCATTTCATGTCCTGGTTTTGCAAACCAAATGTTATGTGGTGATTCAGCCATTGCTTATTCGTGACAGAAGTTTGATGTCCAAACATCTTACTGAACACCTCGAGTAGTCTATCAGTTGACATGTCATCAAATCCCAGACAATTGTGATTGTCTAATCGTAGAGCATCATAATCAGATGAGTTACTTGGATCAGAAAACTTTAACACATCAATGCCACAAATTTTTCCATTTGAATCAGCAAGCTGGTTTTCCAACTTTAGATTTTCAATATAGGATATATTGACATCACTAAGGGTGGGAGTTTCTTCCTCAATTTTAATATCCGATAAATAGATAAAAGCAGGACTAAAAGTAACTTAGCAACTAAAAGATATTTAATTAGGTTAGAAACAAAGTAGGAAAAGGAAGAGTAGACAAGCATGATATGGGAAATGCAAGGAACTGCTTACCCAAAAGGTAATCTTCACATGAAATGGAGCAATAATTTTCGTCATATCCGTTTGAAAATCCATCAATAAGCTGCAAAATCAGGTATGTGCAAATAATCAATGACAACGGAAGCTATTGAACAACATAAAAAGAGAAACAAATCAGACTTAAAGGGGAAGATTAAACTCAATGACTTCAAACTAATCAGAAAAAAAACGAACAAATTAATAAATGTAAGAGCTCTAGAATATAACAATTTTGCCTTGCTCACAAAGACACATACCTTCTTCCTAGTTTCATCCTCGTGGATAAGAGTTATGGGAATTGAATCTAGGTGAAATATCGGAGACCAAAATATATTAGTTATTGGAAAAAAATAAGAAAGATAAATAGAAATCAACAGTCAATGAACCACTCAAAGTAGCCATTTAATCTCATCTCTGATTCACATAGCTCAAGCACATAAGACTAATTACCACGATCAACAGACTCCAGAGCTGAAAAATCCTTAAATTAGCTCTCTGGAACACTGAATGTACATGTCTTAAGATCTAGAAGAGTATCAGCCATATCATCATACTTAGGTTCTGCTAATAAATGCTCCACTCCTATGGCTTCCTACTTTGATACAAAATAATCAGAGGCAGCGCCTATGACCTACAAAATCATACAAATTTAAACAACATAAAGTAAAAAGAAGATTATTCTTCAGAATGTGTAGCATATTCTTGAACAGCTGAATGTTTAGGTACCTGTTCTGGCTCCTGTTGAAAGATACCTGCACTCGCATTAGGTGTTTTCGAGCTGTATTGCAATGAATCTAGAGCAGTTTGCATTTTACACTTTTGTTCAAATTTTCCTAACATTTTCTTGAGAATGACTACCAGACACAGAACAAAATAAAACATTGCAGCCTTAGCATGGTATATTAGTAAAGGAAATGATGTGCATTTGCAATGTAGCAAAACGAACCCATAATATGTACATATGAAGTAATAACTAATCAGTAACAAGTAACGGTGTATTTTATCCATTTGGAAATACCAATTAAATAACATCCTTTAGGCAAATACATATATACCTTGTATTCCAGAAATACGGAGTCAAAAATATTAATAATAACAATAACTGATGTAGCCATACTTCAAACATGAACTAGAAACTCTAAAGATTGCAAAAATGACCATAAAGAAAGTGTAGGAATATATACCACAGCGGAAGCAATAACAGAATCTTATTCACGTGTAATCTAAACAACTAGTACGTATGGAGATTTTAGGATTACCTCTTGAAGCGTAAACACAGCAAATCTATGTCATTCTCCAGTTCCTCAGTTGAAACACACCAGCAGATTTCCATAGTCTTCTACTGTGTTACCCAAACAATAACCGAAAATGGAGAATTTTGGGTAGGCAAAATTCTAGTAGAAACCGCAATTAGAATCTTGTCAAAAACGTCCAACCCTTATATCCATATATATAGTTGCGTTTTAGGTCAAAACTGTTTTCAAAACCTGTTAGGTTTCCTTCTCCCACTAAGGGACGGTTCCACGTTTTCTTTCCCACTAAGTAACAGTTTTCACTATTTTCTATTGTTTAGGCATAGTAGGGACCACCGAATTTAATTAACAAGGCTTCCTATTATGATATTAATTTCGAAATTCTGAAATTAATTTCCATCATAATAAATTACGAATTATTCCACTAAAAATTCGTAATTGCACTCCTTAGTTCAATTTCGAAATTCTTCTATAAAACCTTATTTAACTCCCCATGTTAAGATTCAGATATCAATCAATCAAATTAAATTACTGACTATTTAATTTATTGATTACTTCCTTTAGACTTACACTTAACTTATTTCATGTGTCGGATACAAAATCCACCGGCCGGGTTTACACATGAAAACTTATAAGCTTTCATAAAGGAGTATCATCAATCTCAAAATCGAGACATGGATTCCATCAACTAATTATTACTTCGCCAATGTATATCATTGTTATCCAATTTACCAGGCTTATTGACTCGCGAAAGAATCTCGCCTTTTAATAAATCAAAACAACAAGTGACATACACAGCTAATAATAATTATATCAGGATTAAGAGTATAAGTACATTAAATGGACTAGAGAAAATATTTTATAAAGTCAGTATAAAATACTCATCTCTACTTGATCCGTGCAATACATACAAAATGTACTAGCACAAGAAGTTGGAATTAAACCATTCCCATAATCAAGATAAATTATATTTAATCTTGTGCTACAATCATTCCGATGATTTGTCCAATTCCATCATTAGATTGTGAACATTAACTTTTATGTCTTACAAGAACCGATGATTTAATCTTCCGTGTATAAGCTAAACTCTATACACTAAATCATCTACTATGTAAGCAATGGACGCACAAACCAACACATGATCTATTTAAAATGAAACTTTATTGAATTTAAACAAGTAAATAAATAATTGTTCATAAAGAATACTATAACAATACGCATGGCTTATAGTATATTCTAACAATCTCCCACTTAGACTAATAACCATGCGTCTACAATTTTGACACCCATTCCTTCTACATGCTTATCAAAAGTCTTCTGTGGTAAGCTCTTAGTAAACGGATCTGCCAAGTTGTTCTCTGACGCAATCTTGGTGACCACTACATCCCCTCTCTGCACTATATCACGAATTAAATGATATTTACGCTCAATGTGCTTTGCCCTCTTATGGCTTCGTGGCTCCTTTGAATTTGCAACCGCACCACTATTATCACAGTAAAGCGTAATTGGTGCTTGAATCGAAGGAACCACACCCAACTCTCTCAGGAAGTTACCGAGCCAAACTGCCTCTTTGGCTGCCTCAGAGGCTGCCACATATTCGGCTTCCATGGTGGAATCAGCAACACAAGTTTGCTTGATACTCCTCCAACTTATGGCTCCACCTCCAAGAGTAAACACATTACCTGAGGTAGACTTTCTAGAATCTCTGTCTGATTGGAAATCCGAATCAGTATACCCAATAGGTACCAGGTCATCCGATTGGTAGATCAACATGTAATCCCTAGTCCTTTTCAGGTACTTGATTATATGTTTAACCGCCGTCCAATGCTCTTTCCCAGGATTAGACTGAAATCTGCTAACAACGCCAACGGCAAAGCAGATATCAGGCCTAGTGCATAACATAGCATACATGAGGCTCCCCACAGCTGATGCATAAGGGACCGCCTTCATCTTTTCTATCTCTTCATCAGTCTTAGGAGACTGATCTTTAGATAGAGAAATTCCATGTCTGAAAGGAAGGAATCCTTTCTTGGAATCATGCATGCTAAACCTGGAGAGTATTGTATCAATATAAAGACCTTGGGACAAGCCTAATATCCTTTTCTTGCGATCTCGCAAGAGTTTGATCCCAAGGATATGAGCCGCTTCTCCTAAATCTTTCATATCAAAATGTGTGGACAACCACTGCTTAACTGAATTCAACATGCCCACATTATTTCCTATGAGCAGTATGTCATCTACATATAAGATAAAAAACGCCACTTTGTCCCCATCCCACTTTTTGTATACACAAGATTCGTTAAGACACTGATCAAAACCAAAGGTTTTAATCGCTTTATCAAAACAAGTGTTCCATGCCCTATATGCCTATTTTAGTCCATAAATGGACCTTTTAAGCTTACACAACATGTGCTCTTTTCCACTTTCCATAAAATCGTCTGGTTGCATCATATAGATGCACTCATCAAAACTTCCATTAAAGAAAGCTGTCTTGACATCCATTTGCCAAATCTCATAATCATAATGAGCAGAAATGGATAAGAGAATCCTTATAGACTTAAGCATGGCTACCGGCGAGAAGGTTTCCTCATAGTCGATCCCTTCTTTCTGAGTAAACCCTTTCGCTACAAGCCTTGCTTTAAAAGTTTGTACTTTTCCGTCTACACCTCTCTTTTTCTTATAGATCCATTTGCATCCAATGGGTTTAACCCCATCAGTTGGTTCTACAAGATCCCAAACCTGATTAGAGTACATAGACTCCATCTCTGATTTCATAGCAGCAACCCACTTATCGGCATCCTTATCATGTAGTGCTTGGTCGTAATTGACAGGTTC